GTTCCAGTGTGGAGTAAGGAGGTCTACTATAAACGGATCCCACTATTAACTGTTGGTCTAAAGGATGTGGTTTAATAGATCTTTTACAAATGGAATCGCAGTGCCATTATGGAGGTCTAACATTAAACATCCTAATTGATGACACATCCGTTTCTCATATAATCGATATAATAAACCTTAATACCATCAAATTAGCATGTTGTCATCCCTTCTCTATCTCTATTCCTATGAAACAAATTTTCTCTTTCATTTCTTCTTTTCTTATATCTTAGGAATAAAAAAAAACATGAAATAAATGAAGTAAAAGTCTTAGACACTAAATTTACTGTCTCTTCAAACAAACAAGAATAAATTTTCATTTTTGGATTTCATGAAAAATTGGATGAGAAAATATTAAATAAATAGTCATGTGAGACATAAAACATAAGAAAAGAAAAGATCTTTCCCCATAGCATTTATTTCCAACATGCTGCATATATTTACATACATATGTAAAAATAGAATGGCAATAAATTTCAATATTCTCCTTGTTCTGACTACGTTGAAGAATTTTATTCTTGATTTTTGATTTTTTCATATGCTACATCCACAAAATATTTTGTTATTTTCATACACATTTAACTTTTTGATGGGTTTTGTGCTTAAGATAAATAATTAAAGAATTTTTTCTATTTCTCTCTTAATTCTAATGAGATGAGGGGGGAAACAGCGAATGAATTATTTTAGATATTTAAAGATGATCGCGGATGATGACGACGATGATGCACTGAGCTGTTTATTTTCCATCCACTGAATTATTATTTTTAATGTTGATGAAATTTTTTTTTCGTATAATAAATTATGGAAATGGATACACTAAGGCTTAAAAATCATCAAGTTGACGTGGAAATTATGAAAAATGATGAGGAAATTTTTCATGAATTTGTCGTTGGAATTAGAAGCGGTTGATGAAGTTTGTTGGGAAATTAATGATGGAAAGTTTTTGATGGCATTTTTAAGAATTTAAATATTTTTTTTTACTTTTGTGTTTTTTGGGGGTCTAGACGATATTCTGGGCTGTGGGTCTCATCCTATTCTTAAGTATTTCTTACAATTCTCCACTGACTTCTCCAAGCCACAATTATCCTCCTTAAACCCTCAAACAACACCAACTGCCTTTTCATCAAAATCACTTTTCGTTCTTTCAAGCATCAAGGATCACGCAAAGAGCTTTTCATGTTCATCACAATTTTCTTTTCATGTCTTTTTTTTTAAAAATGTTTCAAAAGCTCATGTTAGAGTTCTTTGCTCTCGAAAATATTTTCATCAGAAAATTGTTTGACTTGTGCTACATATTTTCGTTTCTTTTCTCCATAAATTTTAATGTCTGATGCTCTTTTGCTGAAAATAAAAAAAAAATAAAATCTTCACAGTGGGTTTTCTTGTTGTTTTTTCAAAATTGAACTGATTTGTTTTTACATGGTGGAATTAGGTGAATTAATTTGAGTTAATGGATTCATATTTTTCTGTATTTTTAAGGGGGGGGGGGGGGGTTCTATAAAATACATAACTTTTGGAATTCAATAAAAATTTGGCAACACATTTCCAATTTATCCAAAAAAATATCCTCATTCAGAGACTCGAAAAGAAATCAATCATTTTTATACTGATAAGATAATGAACAGAACGTAAGGAACAGTCGTGCGTCACTGAGTATGATACATGATGTTATCAAATATCAAATCTGAGTTTATCAGAAAGTTTATTTTTGTAACATTTTTGGTTCTATTTTTGTCAATTTTCTGTAAACGATTGACTTGGAACCACAAATTGTTTGAAAGATTTCCTGTGGATTTAAATTGATGATCGAAAATTCTAACACATTATGACTAAAATGAAGGAAATTGAATCATTTACATCAGCAATTACACATTTGTAAATTACTTAAATCACCACAATATTATGACTTGATTCTCATCCAGATTGACTGTAACTTCCATTTTCAAATGAGGGTTATTTATAAATGATGTCTATCAAACATTGCAACTTTCAGACACAACTTTTCGCATTGTTCTAAGGAAATTCATTCAATTTATAGAACTTCTTAAAACACAAGAAAAAGTAGACGTCATTTATGAACAACCCCCACACAAAACAAAATTATTTTCAATCTTCAACAAAACATTCTAAAGCAATTCATTGTAACATAATATTTACCCAAGAAAAGAAGAAAAAAAAATCTTTTTATGACTCTTTAATTCTCCCTCAATGTAACCAGAAGATTGAAGTGGAAAAGTGACTAATTTATAAATAGTTTTTAATACATGCGTCAATAAAATTGAAGAAGAAAACAAGGAAAGATGAAGGAAGAAGAAGTGGAAAATGAAAAACAGAAGAAAATAATTAAACTGTTGATTTATGATTTCTCAAGTATTTTTTTTTGCTTGAAAATTCTTCTCAATGTGTCACAGTGGGTAAATTTAAATGGAAATCAAATGCCTTCAATGTGTTATTTTATTTGGAGATTCTCATGATTTTTATTTGAGAAATCAGAGTGTGTTAAAGAATTTGTTCTAAAAATATTTATGAAAATCTGTTTGGATTTTTGATGGGAATTTGGATGCTGACTTTCAGATTTTTTTTTAAAAAAATTGAATCTTTAACATTTTTTAAAAAAATTCAGATCTTTCAACATATTTAAAAATTGAAGATTTTTTCAAAATTTTTAAAAAATTTAAGATTTTTTTATCAATTTTTAAAAATTGAAAAAATCTTCAATCTCCATTACAAATCTCTGAGAATCTCAAATCAAAAATATCAAACAAAATCACAGAACCCCTTCAGGCAACATCACATTCAATCGTCGTTCCCATAACAACACAATTCGATATAAAGCTGTTTACTTAAAATGCCATAAGAGCACAAATTACATCATCCTAAAATTAGTAGCTGACAAAAAAAAAGTTTCAAAACAAATTCAACAGCACATTTGGTTCAAATGTCAAGTTGTTTATTATATCAAGTCGATTGTGAAGTGGTTCAGGTTACTCACCCTAGATACTTTGTCAAAAAAAAAGAAAGAATTTTTTAATTATGTTGAAATTGAATGTTGACACTGGATTCCTGAAGAAAGTAATTGGAGGAAGTTGAGAGATCGATTGTGACATGAATTAATTGATTTTTTGGAGAAGATTCTTTAATTTTATGCTTTGCGAGGGAGTTTAAAATAAGAAAATAAATTTGATTCCAATTTCAATTTTTGAGGGCTAAAATAATCATAAAATAGCATCACTCCCCCTTCCTAACATACTCAACAGTCAAACTGAGTCAAACCATTAACTGCAAACTCCAAAAACATCCGAATTCCCACCACCAGACAAAATTCTCTCCAACTATAATCACCATATCGAATCTCCAGCATAATTTATTATAAAACTTCTGTTGGATCATCCGATTGCCACTTGGGATGGTTGAATGACCTCTCATCTGAATTGAATGTTATGATTATGTGTTAAATTCATATTTGGAAGCTGAAATTTGCACAAAAAACTTTTTTTGTACATTTTTATATCTCCTTGAATTGATGCCAAGAATCAAAATTTGAACAGAACAATTTTTATGATAGCTTTTGGGATAGTTTTTTGGATATAGCAGATGAGGAAGAGGGAAGTAAGATTGATGAAAGAAAAGGGTCGGTAGAAAGAGAGTCACAGAATTTGGAGACTGGAGAGGGGCAGCAGGAGGGGGGGGGGGGTATTTTTTGTTTGAATATGAATGAAAATAAAAAATTCATAAATAATCAAAATCATCACCAAAAGCTCTTTCCTTGAGCCCCTCTCACAAAACGGTTCCAAAAGACATAAAAAAAAATCCAACTTTATTACACATTGGCACAAGAAAACATTTTGTAAAATTTCATCCACATACATATCTATTCCTTGACATAATCTGAAGCAAGCAAGCACAAAAAAAAATTAAAGTTCATAAAAGTTTTCAATTAATTTAACTTATTTCTCATAGTCTTCTTATTCTTTCCCTATATCTTTACAGTTTACGTCTCCATTCCAACCAGAGTTGAACATTAATTTGAAGCATAATAGCATCCGACAACAACAAAGCAAAGTTAAATCAGAGAAGAATATATACATGAAAAAAAAAAATTGTTGAAACGAGGCCAGCAGCAGACAAAGAATTACTGTGATATTAGATTTCTTAAGTTTCTTTCTGTTTCTTCATTTCTTGTTCTCTTCCAAGACACTAAAAAGTAACTTTGCAGTTTTTTTTTACTTTTTTTTTCGTGAAGAGAGTTACAAATTGCTGCACATAAAAAAATTTTATATACATTAAAAAAAGAAATAATTTTTTTTTGCATCAGCATAAAGTAAAGTTGTAGGAGCAACAGCAGCAAATCAAGTTTCATCTTTAAAGAGGAGAGAATATTAAAATCACTCACAACAGAAATAAGGCACGACGAAGAAGAAAATAAGCGATCTATAAATAATTAATTTTCTCACTCACTCAACAGATTTTTGTTCCCCCCTCATTCGACTTATTTTATATTCGATATATATATATATTCAAATATCTTCGATATTGAGCATCGCGCGCATATTGAACATTCACATACTCTATATCGTGCCACGATACAGTGTGAGAAATAAGAAATAAGAGAATATCAAAACATAAGTCAAAAAGAAAGACGAGAAGAGTCTGCAGTGTGTGTATATGTACAGTACTGTTGTTTTATATCTATACACAAAACTTTTTTTTTATTTTTGTGAATGCCTCTAGTGTGTGGCAATTAATTGAGAAATAATTATAGACAATCTGGAATTTTAATTTCTGCTAAAAACAGAGAACGATAGAAGATTGTGTGAAAAAATAATAATAACACTAATAATAATAATTGTACTGTTTTTTCATTCTTCTCTGGCTTATAAGCAATATCTAATATTGAACACAGCAGTTTCTTAATAAACGATAGTGACTACATATTGAGAAGTTATAAAAAAAAAATATTTGTGCTTTATAAAGAAGAGATTTCTTGTTGTTGTTGTCAAGATATATTCTTTTGCATCTCGCGCTCTATTAATAGGCCTCAAACTCGACACACAGCGATACACTTGAATTGTCTATATTTGGAAAAATCATCATCAACAGTAATAAATATATATATAAAAGCAGCAGAACACATTCCAACAAAGCATAACTCGAAGAGAGAAAATATTTATTCAACTAATTATCAGACCAGCCACCAAGTGTAAAACGAGAGTCTCAGTATATTATGATTAATTGAGTTATGACGTCATTGATGATATTGCATGCGAGTCAAAATGTGTTTGGATTATTGCAATGGGTAAGTACGTTATTTTTTAAGGAGATTAATTTGATTAATTGGTAATTAATAAACAGACTGCGGTTTGAGATCTGTGGCAATAAGGAGATGCTTATGGTTGTGTAAAGGGTTGGGACTTGGGTCAATAATTGAACATTTTTGATGAGGACCAAATATGATGATTAAGATCGTTAAGGAAAAAAAATAATTTTTGACACCAATATCCAATATGATGTTTAAAAGCTCCTGATACCACAACCCCCTTCAAATCAAATCAAATCATTCACATCTCCTGTTAATCCCACAAAACAAGAAAACAACATGCCACATATGATACACAAACATATAGTCGGCGACGTAAAAAGAAATGATTTTATTTTTGCAATAAATTTCTCGTGAATTTTAATTTAATGATTTAAATACTCTCATAATTCCTATCCATTTGTCATTGTGTATACAAAAAAAAATTATAACCACACAAAACATTTGTTAAATGTTTGTAAATACACATATTTAAGTATTCATGACTGCACACACAACAAAAAAATTTCATGTGTTTTTCATGATGCTTTAAAAGTTTTTCTTTCTTTTCAATTTTTCATTTCTTTTTTTTTGAGGAGAAAATTTTTACGATTTGTTGTTGGAAATGCGCAGAAAAATTAACTCGTGCTGTTTTACATCTCAAGATGAAATTAATTGATTTATCAAGTTTTTATTATTTTCATTACGAAAAAAAATTAAAATTTAAATCCTTTTATTTAATTGAATAGTTTTTATTATATCTGTAAAAAATTGAGCACAGATGCGTTTAAATTTTATGGATTGTTGTGTAATTTTACGAATTGATAATTGGGTGATTATTGATATTGTAATGTAAATTAAGAAGAAAATTGATGTAGTGTGGGATACTTTGTATTGGATGAGGGGGTTTTGTAGGATTTTGGGAGGTTAAGGATGCAGTTTTCAAGTTAAGTTTTCAAGCGTTGGTTTTTTAATGGCATTCATAAATTCGAGGATCTAGGAGGTACTCGAACTAAATATAAACCTAAAATTCTGTAAAACTAGCTTGCAGATTAGCATACTTTCAAAAATTTCAAAGCCTTTGTTAAAAACATATTCACATCCGTCCATAAATCAGCTTTGATCACCTTCCCATACCTTCGAATCTCCTTCTTATTCTCCTTCACCAACTTAATTCTCAACAAATTCAATTCCCACAGATTCGTTCTCCAAAAATATTTCAATTTTCAACAAATCTCTTAATGGCATTGACAACAAAACACAATGCATTCTATTTTTATAATAAAATCGGCTAAAGTTATTTCACAATTTATTAATCCTTGGCGTATTCGCTTTCATCACACGCCGCTTATTTTGGTATGCAACTTCCTATATGTGCAAATTTGAAGTATATTTATTACTATTATGTGAATTTTTTTTGGTCGACTTATGGACTCATTTTTGACTAAACTTAAGGTAACAAATATGAAGTCTAGTTTTGAAATGTTAGATTTTAAGTTTGAGATTTAAGTCTTATTTATGATTTTTTTGGGGGGATTTGGTGGAATTCATGTATAAATATCTAGTTATTGAATGTGGGTTCGGTAGATGCGGGTGCATTAATTAGGATTTTTGAGGTGTAATTAGCAAAAAAATTAATAATAATAATTTTGGACATTTTAGTGACAAGCTGTCCTTGTATTAAGTCAAAAAAGCTTTATTTTTCAATTTAAAATCTTAAAAAAACATGCAAAATTCTTCGCTTTAATAAACTGCAAACCAAAACAAACTGAACCTAATAAATGTTTGCCAGTAGATTATGTCTTCATCAACATGTTAATACCCAAGAGACTAAAAAACAGTCTCCAAGCATCAAAACAACAACGGGAATTTCATACTTACTTAAAACTGTCACAAAGTTGATTGCACATGAGATTAAATCGAGATATTTTTACGGTTTTTAATGAATCTTTATGAGTTCAATTTCACAGTAAAATTGCCGCTGTCCTGTTGATACAAAACAATTCACATGATTGCCATCCAACTGATCCATTTTTCAAGACAGTTCAATTTACGCAATTTTAAACATTTTTTTTAAATTTCTCTTTTAATTTCTTTTCCTATTCGTTAATGAAAATCGAGCGCAAAAAAAATTTATTTTTCACAAAAAAAAGTGAAGTGAGAAATGTGAATGGAAGTGATTCACTGTTAGCAATGTTTAATTTGGCAAATTATCAGAATTTTATTTATAAATATCAGGAAATTTTTTTTTGCTCTTTATTAAATTTCAAAAACCTTTATTTTTCATCTCTCATATATCTGATCGCACAGATGAAATCGGATTTTAATTTGAAGGAAAAAGAAAAGAATTTTTTGTGTTCGCTAATTTAGCTTCTTTACATTTTTTTGTGAGACATCAAAGTGAATATTTTTTTTTGTTGCCTTTTGGTTGTTTTGAGGTATGTGATTTGAAATGAATTGAAACAAAATTTTTTTCGGAGGAATTTTCGCGATATTTTGAATAGTTAATTTGAAAGATGAGGATTGAGGGTCCTTTGGGGCATATTTTTAAAGATTAAATCTTTTACTACTTTATTGGAATTTTTGTAGACCTTTCTACAATTTTTATTCATGAAAATATAAAATCAGACGAGATTCTTGAATTTTTCTAATTTTTGGAATCTTCAATTAATGATGTTTTATATCACAGATTTTTTTAAGACTCCTTTACATGAACCTAGCCAGGAATTGGGTTCAGAAGAGTCCGATTAAAAATATGAGTTGCTCAAAAAAAAACATTAAATTTATTCCAAGCTTTGCCAAAACTCAAGTATCAAATTTTAGACATGATAAACAAACAATCCCCAAAAACTTCTAAGAAAACCACAAAAACTCCCTTTAAAAAATTCAAAAAAAGATTCAAAATTAATAAAACCAAAACACACTCCAAAACAAAACTACAAAGATGATTAACGCCTTGAAGCTAAATTAAGACGATAAAAAAAGCCAACGATCTTGTTATGGAAAAGTCATCTTCAAGCCGATTGATTGAGATAGAAAAAAATAACAGCAAAAGATGCGTGGCAATGAGAGGCATGACACCCACATGTGATAGTAAAAAAAGAGAGAAAATAAGAAGAATAATAAAATAAAACAACGCGTGGCAATTGACCTCGCTGTCCATCGCTCAAAAACTTGTTAAATACTCAATTCCAATTCCTCTTAGTTCCAAATGAGACGTGCGATCACTATTGAATAATGAAGAGAAATCTGACTGTGTGTATTTAATTATCAATTTTACGCCAATAATTATGCGAAAAAAAATATAATAAAATACAAAGAAATTTTCACAAATGTCTTCCTTTCCATTTCACATAACAATTCACAACATTAATTTGTGTCGCGTAGTATAATTTGCTCTGCTGTACTGTCATGTCTGTTTCTCTGATTGTCATTTGAAATTATTTTTTTTTTCTTATAAAAAAAAGTAGAGACGATTACTGGTTGTCAGGTAGACTTGGATTAGATAATGCGACGCATTTTATAATTGGTAGTTTAAGATTATTGACTTTATTGATTGTTGGCTATGGATTTGAGGTGAATTTAGCTCATGATGTTCTTAGCTGGATGAGGAATTATGACAAAAGTATTTCTGCACGTTTTCACGATAAAATGATCGACATTGTACCAGAAACATGAGATTTTGTATGATCTACTACCATTTATAGCAATTCCGGTCATCCGATTCCATCAAAAATTAAGACATTAATCACTTCCTCAATTTGTGATCACCAAAAAATATTATTTCAAATATACTGAACTTGTGAGATTCTTAAATATAGTTTTACGACTGATACTCGAGCTTTTTGATATTAAAATTATGAATTTAAAATTTTTAATGCTCATCTGGATAACATCGATTTTAGCAATTCTTCCAACAACCAATCAGACAATCCATCACTTCAACTTACTCGATCTCCCACAAAACTCAGTTCAAAGAAAAAGATACAAATTACCTGCAAAAAAATGAGATTCCAGTCAGTTCGTCACAATTTTTTTTTGCTGTTTGTTGAACTTGGAAAGTAGGAAATTACGTTTACAGCTCTCATTTCATTTGTATTAGACGATCGTGATTGTTATGTACTTACTTACTCATAAAATAACGTTTTTTTTGCATTGTACATCTTATTGCCAATAATATTCTTCAGCTGTCAGTTGACTGTTTACATGTAATGAAGTATCATTGAGTTGATTATCTTTTAACGGGTTATTTATTTGGGATTTTTGAGGTCTTTATGTTGAGCTGATTGATGAGGCATTCAGTTTTGATGTCCGAGATGTAGGATTGATCCTTATTCTTGGTGGTAAATTTAAGATCCACTTCATCTTTGACATTAATAGCTATTATTTGCTGGTTTTAGTTCAGAAACAAATATTCTGACGTTTAAGTCAATTTTCTAGGAATCTGAATTTAAAATTCGCAAGCTGTAAACTTAATCCACTATCAGACACGTCTTGGTCATTTTTAATTAACCTCAAATCATTCTCATCCCTCTTACTAATTTTGTCATGTAAATCGCATACCATAAGAAGGTCTTTTCAGACCTTAAAGACCTTGCAATGTCTCCGCTTCTTAATTATGTGAAGCTCATTATGGTCTTATGAGTTTATCACGATTTTAAGTGTTTTTTTATTATTTTTCAATTTAATAGATACTTAATTATAATAAATTCATTGAATAATGGAAATTACCTTTCAATTTTTCATCCACACACAAAAAATTATTTACCGCTTGATGGACAAAAAAGAGAAATCTCGATTGAACAAGTTACAAAAAAAAAAAGATCATGATGAACAACACACATACACGTAGTTTTTTTTTTGAGATATTCATGAAAATTACATTAACTGTGTGTTGTTGGAGGCCTCAGTTAGAAGAACAATAGCCGAATAGAGAAATACATTTATTTCTTCTTTTATTATTATGAAGAGCAGTAAATAGAAAAAGATGATGAAGAAGA